ACAGTCCTGTATATTTAAAGAAATTAAATCATGAAGAATCTCCATAAATGTATGCAAGTTTCTCGCACTGTGATAAAACAACAGTGCTTAGAGCCATTAAATTTTGAATAACGTAATTGTCCACCGAATGTGGGCATCTGGAAACCTAATTTGGAATTTATTTTATTACTTATTTATATTTTGTGAGAAATTAAAGAATTTTTAAGTAACAAACTCAACGATTTCAAAGAGAGGAATGGCAAAACTCTACGAAAAATAAACCATTTTTAAATCTTTCTGCTAGGAGGATGAAAAGCCAGACAGTGGCCAAAAGATATATCTCCAGTGCGCGAGACTGTGTATAGGAAATTCTAAAGATATGCTCATTTTAAAATTTGTTTTGTGATACTGCTGTTGATATTAATTTTATGGCTTAAGTGAGAAGAACATGATATTTAATAAACAAAGGTAACACACAAAACGTTAAAAGGTGCCCCTTTTGGGCGTAATGTAAAATCTGAAAGATTTCAGACTTTTTTTTTTCCCGAAAATATTTTCTAAATAATTTTTATAGTATTGCAATAATTTTGACTTATTCTTCTGGTGATTGTATAGTAGAATAAACTTCAAAAATTTGAAAGAGCCTCTCTTCCAGGTTCCTATTTTGTTTTCTTTCGCAATAAGGAAAATAATTATCTAGAAACACTTCATCTTAATAAGGCATTCTTCATTATATTTAAATATCATCTTAATAAGGTGAACTGTACTCAGGAGCTGGTTGACTTTGTATTTAATAACAAAGATTATCATCACAAAGATATTACTTTATTATACATTTATTAATGATTTTGTGCTGTAGAGGGCGATCGGCTCCAAACATTTAAATTCTCATCACAAGCGTAAGATCTGTTAAGCACGTACACAAAAGAAAAGAATACTCAATTCATTACGTAGGTCGAGAGATAACGCGCTAGCAGCGCCTCCTGTCGGCACTCTTAATCACTACTGAACATACTCCCGACCTGAAACCTTACGTTTCAAAAAATATTACAATTAGTCACACTGTTTTAAAGCCAATATAAACAACATTGTAAGCAATAGCAATACAATGGTTAAATTTTTAAAATAAACATTAAATCATAAATGCAATAAACACTATAAAAACACATTACCTATACAATACATAAATCTAATTACAATTCCAGAAGAAGACAAATGTCTCTCACATTTCTTTTAACATTTACCACCTGGTATACTATGTAATCACTCGAACTTTTTATCTTTACCAAAAATTATTCTGCATTCTACCTGTTAACCATTTGTACTGGGCATATGCTCATCCTTGACTAACACGTGAACCCACCTTAACATTCTTTAGCAAACATCCATTTACTACGTTGTTGAAGGTTATTTAAATAGTCTCTCTTCATAATTCCCAATTTGTTGACTATATTTCTTATTTTTTGCCACTTTGGAGAGCATTTTCTGTATCTCAATAAGTTGGGGTTCAGCTATTGAAGCTAAAGGCCTCCCTATGAGAAAATGTCCGGGGACAAGGTTTCAAAATTATCAAACTCGGATGATAAAGAGTAAGGGTTTTATAATTTAATACGCTTTCAATTTCTAGAATCACAGTGAGAAATCTTCAAGAACAGATGAGCATTGCCAATAATTCGTTTCAAATGAAACTCTAAAGATTTCACCCCGGCTTCCCAAAGGCCGCCGAAGTTTGGTGATTTAAGAGGGATAAATCTCCACCCAATGTTTTCACTTAGCAGGTATTTAGTCAGTGTTTCCTCTGGGTGTTTAACCAATTTATGCAATTTTCCGAGCTCAATGCTTGCACCCACATAATTATTTGCATTGTTACTGAATAATTTTGCACATTTACCCCTGCGACTATAAAATCTTTTCAAAGAAGCTATAAAGGCATCTGAAGTAAGATCAGAGGCAAAATCTAAATGGATGGCTTTGGTTCTTAAGCATACAAAAATGCACACATACACTTTGTTTTTGTTTAGTTTTCCCTTACGCTGAGTTTTAAATTTAATGTGGAATGGTCCACAAAAATCAGTTCCAAGATTACTAAATGGGTAAGAAGGTGTTACTCGTTCTTTGGGCAGATCAACCATTATCTGGCTCTCAAAAACAGGTTTAATTTTAAAACAAGTTATACATTGAAAACCAACTTTACGACAAACATTTATGCCATTTAAGACCCAAAATTTACGTCGAACATGATGCAATAATGCATTTGAACCAACATGAAAATACTTTAAATGATAATATCTCATAATTATTAAAGTTAATGGATGCTTATCTAGCAGAAAAATTGGATTTTTTTCATATGTACAGAGGTCAGAATGTTTCAGTCTACCTCCAACCCTTAGAACATTGTCTTTATCTAAATAACAGTTTAAAGATTTTACTTTGCTGTTGCTGGGCACTGAGGCACTTATCTCAAGATGTTTTATTTCATCCACAAACTCACCTTGTTGGATTGACCTAAATAAATAGAGTTCCGCTCTTCTCAACTCGCTAAATGTAAGGTGACCTGTAAGCTTTTCATTTCTACATTATTGATAATCTAAATACATAGCACTATGAACATAGTTAACAATATTACTCAAGGAAAGATATCATCAACCTATAGAACATATTTAAACAGTAAAGGCATAGGAGAATATCATTAGCGTCATCAGTTTTCTTTAGTTCATCAGAAAATCATTAATAAATAGAATGTCATTATTGTCTACCGAAACTCAGTCTTTCTCTCAACTGGGGCCATGCCACCAAACGTCACTGTTCACTAAATTCCCTGCTGAGGAGATCAGCTGGATTTTCTCCCAGGCGTTGCCCGCGTATCACTTAACTCTGTATTTCGTTACTCTATTGGCAACAATTTCCACGTTTCGTAGATCTTTAATCCATGAGATTTTTTGAATCCGTCAAAAAACACAAGGAGACTTTTTAAATCCACTTTTTGACTTTACTCGCTAGTCGGCGGCAAGCAAAGCAACGAGTAATCTAGTCGGAAAGATTTTCCTAGTGGCGTCTCGACTCTTGCTAACCATATTCACTTTAGTTATTATCTCAAAATCAAAATAGCACCATAAGCTTGGCTACATCGCAGAAGCATGGTAGTTCTAAGATATCGGTTGGCTCTTGTATTTTAAATTGAGCACGTTTCTGGAATCGTAACTCTGAAGATCAGGAACTCGGAGCACCCTGAAGCCATTTTTTTGTATCTACAGGTATTTCTTAATCCCAAGAAATTTTTCATCAATAAGACTTGTAGAATGAAATTTGCACGAATAGTAAACGGCGAAAGCACCCAACGGATCAAAAATCTTCAATTGTACGTTGTAGGAAGTTGGTACTACTTTAGACAGTCCACTAGGCTCTGCCTCCAATAGACAATCTCAGCAGGATTCTGGCAGTCCCAAAACTTTAAGCGTTGATTTGTGGCTGTGATCGAAACTTTCACGTGTCCAAACTGCATCAATTTGTCATCGTAGTCCTTTTCGTAGCACATGCTAGCTTGGCTCATAATGATGTAGTTGATGGAGATCTCAAAAGCTCATTATCAGCTCCAAATAAATCATCCACATACAAACAGCGGTCTAAGCATTCTGTTGTAGTCTGGAATTCTTCAGAGTGCTTTCTCAGGTTTGTTTTCAAAGTAGCAGTCAAAAGGAATGGACTGCTTGTAACACCAAAAAGAACACGATTAAATCTGTAAACTTGAAATTTACCATTTTCTTCCCATAGAAAGCGAACTGCATCTCTCTCCTTTTTGGCTAATAAAATTTGTAGGAAAGCTTTCTCTATGAAGTAAAGGCGACTTTGTTTAATTTGAAATTAACAAGAATGTTGGATAGGTTCGAATTCAGGTTTGACCCTGACCACAGGCAATCATTTAGACTTAAATGCTTAAAGTTATGACTGGACTTGCATCAAATACTATTCTTATTTTTGTAGTTGCACTTTTCTCTATAAAAACTAGTTGATGTGGCAAATAGAACACAGGCTTATCAACAGGTTCCTTAGGACATCTAACTTTCTCTATATTATTCTTATTTTCATAGTCCGTTAAAGTTTCAATATACTGCAAATGAAGATTTGTATCTTTTTGAAGTCTACGCATAAGTAAATTAAGTCGCTTTTTTGTAACGATGAAGTTATTATTAAGCTCTCCCAATCTCTTTTCCATGGTAATTGAACCTCATGCCGGTTATTTTTAAAACGAACAGTTTTTTTTCAAATGTTTCTAAGGATTGATATATCTCATTTTCATTGGGATCTATCTCATTTCTCATTTTCACTGGGATCTATCTCATTTCTCATTTTCACTGATCTATCTCATTTTCACTCACACTTCTTTAATTCCTATAGACTCAAGTTGCCAAATTTTTTAAATTTCATTTTCTATATCACTATAATTATTAATTAAGCCACAGTGAACTGCTTGTGTATTTTCAGTCTCTGAACCTAAAATACTGCCAGTGGCTGAAAGCAAAAACAAATTTTTAATCTTACTCTGAATTGGTACTTCAATTGACCGCATTTTAATTGAAAACACATCTGCGCCTATAATGCCAATTTTTCTTCTTTCTAAAAGTTGGTCAGCAACCTATGTTTTGAGAAAAGTCAGTCGGACTTCTTATTATTGTGGTATGGAGTCCAATTTTAGGCCCACACAAAATTCTACCTCATTAAAGTCATACTGTTTGAAATTACGCCATATTTAGATTATACTTTTTCGTGTTATTTATCCAGAACCACAACAGATATTTTTTCTCTTAATCCTTAACGAATAGCAATCAATCTTAGATGAGTCATCGAACCTACATCAACCAAAGCGCGAACTGATTTAATCACCCGTACAATGTCTGATTAAAATATCGCAGTAACCGTAACTATTTTGGGCTGAGCATCCGTTTACAGCTGGCCGGCGAAATACTTCTTTGGTAGAAGAAGAGTCCTAAACAATTTTTCAGCATTGATGAGATGACTGTCGTCTTTCCCCCCCCTACTTCCGGTTGAATTGAGACTTCGGATTTATTTTGTTTTTTCATTTTCGAATGTACTAGCGTTGATGCTTTCGTTAGCATTTTGACATCGATAATTGACGAACCGTTCGAACGGAATGTTTTCACAATTAAAACAAAGCTTTTTCTTTTCCGAATTCCACATGTCCTTGACAGAAAGATTAGAATTCGGACACTAATAATGAATGGAATTCTCCCACGGCATTTTATGCATTTCAATTAGTTTTTTGATAGAAGTGATATTTACTCTAGTTTATGGAGAATTATTCTCTTTTTACCTCCTTATTCCTATTTTGAAAGCGTTCTCGCTGGCTTTGTAAAACGAAGTATGTGCAATCGTACCAATTCTCCGAGTTTTTAATTCTTTTCCCCCATAATCGGTCGATTATCAACTTCACTTTTAAATATAAAATCATCTTCCTAAGTTTCTCTTGTAGTTAATTTAAAGTTCGAAACATGCGTGTGCATCAATAAATTGATAGAGTGAGCATCGCTAATATCGGCGATCCAAAGCTTTTTATTATAGCACTTAAAGCTCCCTTTATTCGCTACCTATTCTAAAGTTCAAGCTATATTCGAATTTGTCTCCGAAATGCCCGCTGTATCCTCTCAGAGCTTCTCCTACACTAGCTTTTAAATATTGCAATCCTTTCTACCGAAAGATTGTTTTATTACCAGCTTTAAATATCTTTCCATTATCCAATTCTCTATTTAACATGAAGTGGTACCGATAGCGGCGGAACTTAAACATCCGAAACACATTTCCTTATTATACTCGCCAGGAGAAACAGAAGTTCATCTCTATTTTTACTACTGCTAATTACTTATCATCCCATCAACTCATCCCAATATCTCTGTATCTCTTATCCTTAATAAGTATCCAATCTTCGGGTTACATGTTTCGAAATTGAATAAATACAGATTAAGTCGTTAAAATTCATTAGTTGGGTTTTTAAATAGCTGCACGCACTGCCGGAACATCTAATGACTAAACCTTATCTTATTCCTCGTCAGTGAACTTTTTACACTCTTTTTTAGTTAGACTTCCTATTTATCCAGTATAACTCTTAATTTATAGAGCTAAATGGGAGAGCTCACCTTATCACGACGCCCACTGCCTGTCTCATGAGTGGTTCCTTGATTTAAAACAAGATTCATCCAAGATATTTATTTTAATACATTATTAATATTTTGTTGCTGTAGAGGAGCTGCTCCAAAACTTTAATTCCATCACAACGCTGTAATATTGTACAGCAGTACACATAAGAAAGAAATCAATTCAAATTACGTGGCGAGGTATACGCGCTTTCAGCGCCTCCTGTCGGCAACTCTTCTCACATGAAATAATGCATTCTCATATTTATATCACCATGATCGGAATTAGTGATTTGTATTTCATTCGAAGTTTGAAGAATAAAAAATAAACAACGGTAGTAAGTCAATCGTAAAAACAACTTATATTAGCGTAGGTAATGAAAACTCCATCGCTTTCGAGGGCACTAAGGTCCTCTCCTCAGGAGAAAAATACACAAAAGAGAAAATAGGAGAGGAGTCACAGAACCGTATCTCCCAGCACGCCGTGGTTAACAGATTTTTAATCGAGTTGCACGGCCGCTACTTTACTGAGCCAGGTGTTGATCAGCATAAAGAATATAGCGAAGTTAAAATATAGCGGGGCAAATGCACATACTCTCAAATCTGAACTTCAAATATGGAAGCAAACCACTGACGATTTTAGACTCTGGTAGTACCAGCGCGAGAGGTAACGCCTCTATCGGAAAAATAATTGAATTAAGATAGTAAATTTTAAGCATTAGGAGACTGGTTGGACTTCAATCATTACAAACTTATAAATCTTTTGATGTGAAAAGCCTCAAGAAATCCATTGCTATGGAAGAGCCTTTTGGATTATTTGCAGACCCAATCAAATTATGGTAAAAGTCCAGCTATGATACCTATGAGACTTGTTAATTCGCTTTTTTGACATACGATTCATGTTCCTTGATACGAACTCAACGATCTTTTGGTTGGCCAATTCTTAAACCCACATGACATGATACTATAAATCCCAAATTAAAGAAACGCATTTTTAGAATCGAGTTGAATTTTATTACTGGGGGAACCGATTGAAAATTGAATTCGGAGAATCGTGCATTTTAAGATAACAAAGATAAAGGAAGCACGACAAGGTCATAATATATTTTAACATGGAATGTCTTCTTGTGGGAATCTAAATTTTTTGACGGCTTTATCATAATCACGGAAAAATCACGGTCATCGCAACGGCTCTCAAATAATTAAGTCATGTAAGCAAGCTTCAGGACAACCGTCGCGCGCGAACATAATAGTAAAAGAAGCCATTTTTTCTTAATGGGTGACTGACGGCTGGGGTGGTAGACAAACTGCAAGGGTTACGGTCACATGGTTCTAAATCGGTTTCATTGCGGATATAAGAAATCCAGGAAGGGAGGAATTGTGGATTCCAATTTCAGCGAGAAATGGATGCTGATCATTGAATTCATACGATAGAATCCGGAAATCTCTTCTAACGTACAAAGCGAGTGTCGTACATACCGAATCCAAAGACTAAAAGTAATTATCAAATACTTTCATCTCAAAAGTGCATATAAATGCAGCAAGTACGACTGAGAGGATAACCATACAATCCTTCACTGACGAATATGATTTTGCAACAAAGTGGTTTGACTTAGAGAACTTTAGAGCGAACCACTCTTCCTCAGTATGTGTGAGGGAATTCCGAGCCTATTCAGCAATTTCGTGCTCTTCGACCGGAACATAGTAAACAATGATTTGCATCAATGAACCATAATGGACGAAGTGGGGAAATATTTTAAGTAGCAAGACTCAACAGATTTTTACAGTTTATATTGTTAGCAAGTAGAGAAAAATCTGAAACTAAAATTTGGCCAAGGATATGAAGCAGTATATGTGGAAAACTGGTCGAAAGAATACCCGGTTTTGGACTTTTGGAAGATCATAAGTCTATAATTACTATTAACTACTAATAACTAGTCTACAATCACTAATTATTAATTACTATGCCTAGACTTATCTTCCAAAATCCCCAAAACCGTATTCCTTTCGACAATTGTTTCCAATAGGTCTGCTTCATATCCTTGGCAATATTAGTTTCCAGATTTTCTCTCTATTGCTAACATATCAACTGTAAAAAATTCTGTTGAAGTCATGTAACTTAAAATTTCCCCATCGTTCCATTAGGTTCATTGATGTCAATATTGTGATAATTCCGGTCGAAGGAGCACTAATTGTCTTGACTAGGCTCGGAATTTCACTTCACACATACGAAATTAATAGTGTTCGCTTCTAAGTTCTCTAATCAAACCACGTTTTTCCAAAATGCTATTCGTCAAGTTGAAGGATTGGCTATGGGTAATCCTCTCAGTCCGGATTGCTGCATTTATATGCCTATTTTGAATGAATTATTTGATAATTTCTTTCGTTTGGATTCGGATGTTGACGCACTTTCGCCTTTTTGACGTTATAAAGAGGATTTATCGAGATTCTATCTTTAGATTCAATGATCCGCCTCCATTACTCTTGAAATTATCCACAATTCCCTCCCCTTCAGGATATTCTTAATCGCATGAAACCATGTTAGCACACGTGTACCGTAAACCCTGCAGTTGTTACCACCATGCAAGTCATGCACCCTGAAGCAAAAAGCTTCTTTTATATTATGTTTCCGCGCGTAAACTTTGTCCTTGAATCTTTGCTTACCATGAACTTATTATTGAGAGCAGTTGCGATGCCGTGGAGTCCCGGGATTATTGATAAGCCGCAAAAATTTCGATCCCATCAAAGAAGAATTCATGTTAGAAAAATTAATGCTTGTCGTGTTCTTTTTATCCTTCTGTAGCAGAAATTGCACGGATCTCGAAATGCATTTTCAGTCGTTTCTCCCCTATTCACAAATTCACCTTCGATTCGAAAAGATGCGTTCGTCGTGATCTTGGGGAATTTATAGTATTCTGTCTGTGTGGTTTAAGATATATGCAAACAAAAGACGTGAGTTCGTATCAAGGAATGATCTTATGTCAAAAAAGGCGAAATTACAAGTCTTCAATAGCGTATCTAGCTGGACTTTAACCATATTTGATTTTGGGTCTGCAAAATCATCCAA